GGGGCGCCCCCAGCATCCCCCGACGGGATCCCGAGGGCCTTCTCTCGGCGACCCGCCCAAGGGGGGGTGAAAAGGGGCGGGCCTTCTCAGAAGGCTCGGGCCCCCCAGCCTTTTGAGAAGTTTCCTAAGCCTTCCCCGGATACACATAATACTTTTCAGGAGGCCCGAGGCCTTCTGAGAAGCACGGCTGCCTTTGAGAGGGCCCCCCCCCTTTCTCGCTGCCGAATTTGTTGATCTTTAGTAATCATGAATCCGCAAGGGCATCGCCCCCTGCCGCCGGCCCCCTCTGTCGGGTAGTGGGCTGCGCAAGAGCTGAATCATGGGGCCTCTGCGCAGCCGTGGAGCAGCATCAGCAAGAGAAATTGAGATCTGATGATATTGTTGAACTCCATGTTGCATTTTGAACGAGGATGATACGCGAATACAGCGTACTTTGCTGCGAGGGTTTATGGCTTCGGGGTCGCACATATAGTGTCATTTACACAGGTTTATGGCTTTTGCGTCGCGAGCATTGCGTAAGTTACTGGGTTGATGGTTTCGGACGCGCAACTATAGCACATCTACGTGGATATATGGCTTCGGGGTCGCAGGTATAGCGTACTTATCGCAAATCTATGGTTTTGGAGTTGTGACTATCGAGTAATGTGCACAAGGTTTATGGCTTCGGATGCGCGGCTATAGTCTAGTTTGTGAGGGTTTACGGCTTCGGGGGCGCGAGGATTACATAATTCTCAATGGCTTATTGCGTCGGGAACGCAACTATCGCGTAATGTATGAAAAAGGCTTATGGCTTCGAAGACGCGAGTATAGTGTACTTTTTGAAGTATTTGGATTTTGGGACGCGACTCTCGTGTGATTTACAAGCGTTTGTGGCGTCGGGATGCAAGCATTTTATCATTGACGAAGGCTTATGGCTTCGGGGACACACATATGGCGTGGCGTATTTTGGTGAAGGCTTGCGGCTTCGGGGACGCGAGTACTGTGTAGTTCGCCAGGAATTATGGCCTCGGGGACGCGCGTCTTGTGTAATTTACGAGGGTTTGTGGCCTCGGGGGGGCGAATATAATGCATTTGCACGTGTCCCACGCCCCCCCCCCAGGAACTCAGGCAACGCGATTCGGGCGTGGTAGTCAGGACGCTTTTGGGCTCCCCCCCCCCTCGCGCGGTACAAGGAACAGTAAGCAGCATACAACAACATTACAACAGCAAAAACTTTAAACTGGAACTGGTGCAGGGAGCAGCAAACCCTAGCCCTACAGCCTGGTGGCCCTGCAATGGTTCAGTGTGTGTGTGTGTGCTTGGAGGCAAACTAACTTCAAAAACTAATTTCAACAAGCTCTGATAATACTCTGATTCGACTTTGACTCAACTCTGGTTCGGAACTCTGTTTCATCTCTGATTAGTTTAAAACTCTGATTTAACTCTGGTCCTGGTCCGAACTCTGATTTATCTCTGGTTCGGCTCTGTCCCCAGCCAGAGATAAATCAGAGTTGAATCGGAGTTCCAGACCAGAACTGGAACAGAGTTTCAGCTAAACCAGAGAGGTGAATCAGAATTTCAGGCCAGAGCCAAAACAGAGTTTCTGCCAAACCAGAAAAGAGTTTCAGGCCAGAGCCAAAACAGAGTTGAATCATAGTACCATCTGATTTTTTGCAGTCCCGGGCGGAGGGCGCGGGGCGCGCCGCGCAAGTGCGTTTGTTCTCTCTCCTTGCCCATCCTCCCTCATCCCCTCGCTCTCTTTCCTACCTCGTCTATCCCCTCCCTCCTTCCTCCGCTTCCCTCTCCCTCCCTTTCCCTCCTCCCCCGTCCGCGTCCCTCTTCCCCCCTCCCCCTTCCCCACGTCCTTCCCCCTCAGTTTTTCTCCTCCCTCCTCCTCTTATTCCCGCCCTTCTCCTCCACCTTCTCTCCTCCTCTTCTTCCTGCCCCTTTGGCCTCACTAGTCCCGTTTCCTCCTTCCTCGGTCGCCGTCGCCCTCCACGTGCTGTCCCTCCTCTTCCCTCGGCCCCCAATTCTCCCGTCGTCCTTTTGTTCCTCCTTCTCGTCCTCCTCATCCTCCCCCCCCCTCCTCCGTATCGAGCGTCAGTCTTCGCTCCTCGGCCTCGGTGTCCCGCCCTCGTTCTCGCCCTCGCTCCCCCCCTCGCTCAAAGCCCCGCGCCCGGCCTCGTCTCCGCCCTCGCCCCCGCGCCGGCCTTCGCCCCCGCCCGAGGTCATTTTCACTTCAGCCCTCTTCCTCGCCTTCGCCTTCGATCCCGTCCTTGCTCTCACCGTCGTTCCCGCCCTCGTTCCCGCCCTCGTTCCAACATTCGTTCCCGCCCTCGTTTTCGCCTTCGCCCCCGCCGTCGCCCCCGCCCTCGTTCCCGCCGTCGCTCCCGCCCTCGTTCTCGCCCTCGTTCCGCCCTCGCTCCCGCCATCGTTCCCGCCTTCGTTCCCGCCTTCGTTCCCGCTCTCGTTGTCGCCCTCGTTCCCGCCGTCGTTCCCGCCCAAATTTTCGCCTTCGTTCTCGCCGTCGTTCCGGGGCCGCCCGGAGGCCGCCCAGGGAACCCAAGGGCCGCCCGGGGAAATCAGACGGAGCTTAAACAGACCTCAAACAGACCTTAATCAGAGCTTGGCCCAAAACAGACCTCAAACAGACTTCGAACAGACCTTAAACAGACCTCAAACATACTTCAAACAGATTTCAAACAGACCTCCCGGAAGTTCCCCGGAGGTTCCCCGGAGGTTCCCCGGAGGCGCCCGGGGAATTCCCGAGGCGCCCGGAGGGAACCCGGAGGCGCCCAGAGGCGGCTCCCCGCCCTCTTTCCCGCCCTCGCTCCCCCCTCGGTCCCGCCCTCGTTCCCGCCCTCGTTCCCGCCCTCGTTCTCGCCCTCGTTCTCGCCCTTGTTCTCGCCCTCGTTCTCGCCCTCGTTCCCGCCTTCGTTCCCGCCTTCGTTCCCGCCCTCGTTCTCGCCCTCGTTCCCGCCTCGTTCCCGCCGTCGCTCCCGCCGTCGCTCCCGCCCTCGTTCCAACATTCGTTTCCGCCCTCGCTCCCGCCCTCGTTCCCGCCTTCGTTCCCGCCCTCGTTCTCGCCCTTGTTCTCGCCCTCGCCCTCGCTCCCGCCCTCGTTCCCGCCCTCTTTATCTCCCTCGTTCCCGCCCTCGTTCCCGCCATCGTTCCCACCCTCGTTCTCGCCCTCGTTCTCGCCCTCGCTCCCGCCCTCGTCCCCGCCCTCTTTATCCCACTCGTCCTCGCCCTCGTTTCCCGCCCGTCGTCTCCGCCCGCCCCACTTCTCGCCCTCGCCTCCGCCATCGTTTTCGCCATCGTTCCTACCCTTGCCGCTCTCCCCGCCCTCGTTCTGGGCACCTCCCAGGGCGCCTCCCGCGCCCCCGAGCCTGCCGAAAAGTACAGCGCTTCTCCTCTGCGCGTGCTGCCCCCGACCTGTCCCGGGCGGGCGGCGGGGGTTGGGGCGGTCACCGCGATGCGCATCCTGTCGCGGCGCGGCCGCTGGCAGCCCTGAGGGGCGAGCCTCGGGCGGGCATTTTTTCGCCCCAGGTGCCGTTGAGCAGTTTTGGGCAGGGCCGCGCAGGCGGGGGGCGCTGCCCCCCGCCCCCCGCGCAGGCCTTAGCCTTGGCGTTGCCCCAGAGCGGCGTGTGCAGGCGGGCCCAGCTCGCAGCATTTGGCAGCTGGCGGCTGGGCCCCCAGCCATGACCTGCCGCTTGGCCTACGCATTCCTTATGTTGTTGCTCTTGAAGACGCATGCGCACGGGGCCGACCCGGCAGCGATCTGGGCCGACGCCGCGACATTGGTTTCGGCGGGCCCAATCCGTACCATGCTCATACTCACTTTAAAGTTCCCAGTCATACCTAAATCAGGCATGGGCCTTAGGACCAAAGTTAAATCAGATTTTCAGCCCGACCCGAATCGGAGTTCGCGCTAAGGACCAGACTCGAATCCGTGTTCCAGCGCAGACGTGAATCATGCCTTCATAGGAGTTTTGGGCCTGAACAGAGCAACAGAGTTTGCCCCCGAAGGACGCGCTTAACACAGGGGGGCCCGCGGATTGCCTGACGGTCCCACGGCTTGGGCCTCGGGCCTCGGGAATTTGAACACGGCCGAAAAACATCGGAAACCGTTTCCCTCAGGGCCCAGTAGTTCCGCGGCGAAGGGCCGCAAGACCGGCGCCGACGTCGCCTTCTCTCTTCCCCCCTCGCTCGCCGCCGATTCTCGGGGCAGAAGCGGCGGGTGTGGACCTCTACCCGCCCCTTGGGGGGGGGGGGGGGGGGGCGGGGGGCCCGTGGGAATGGAGAGGCAGGACTCGTGGCTTCGGGGAGGCGTCGCACTGGAGCGACGCAATGAAAAAAACGTGGCCGTCTGCGCCGATATTGGCGCGTAAGCTGCCCGCGTGAGGTCGGGCGTGAGCGCCCTATTTTCTCCGTTTGGGCCTCCTGGGAAGCCCTCGTCGCCGCCGCTGGATTCGCCTTGACATTCTGGTCAGAACGCACCCTGGGAGAGGTCCGGGGAGTGGCGGTATCGGTGCCATTTGATTTCCCCAAGCGTTCCGCGCGGGCGGCCCGCGTAGGCCACCGCGTAAAGGTAACTGTGTTATCTCGCGTGAGGACCGTCTCTGATCGTCGCTCACTTGGATTGAGGCCCGCGGATTCGCGACCCGTGCAGAATCGGCGCGGCCCGTCGCCAAGTCAGGCGGCATTGGCCTCATGCTTCGTTGGTTGCCATCCCATATCCGTGGATCTGGCGCCCGCGCGCCGGAGACACATATCCGTGATCCACGGCAGCGCGTGCCCGAGTCCGATGGGTTTGTTTTCCACCAGAGGAGGAGGACGACGAGGAGGAGGAGGAGGAGGAGGAGGAGGAGGAGGAGGAGGAAGAAAACGAGGAAGAGGAGGAGGAGGAGGAGGAGGAGGAGGAGGAGGCGGAGGAGGAGGCGGAGGGCCCCCCCCCCCTCCAACTTATGGTGGTGGAAGTGGTGGAAAACAGGCCCACCAACAGATCCGTGATCCACGGC